TTCTCTGTGGTATTGCAGTCCTGTTTTCTTAAAACAAACATAATAGCTCTCCTCTTCAGTGTGCCAGCCAGGATAGGTGTGTCTGCTGCAGTATAAGCTAATCAAATTTAGCATGCCTCCTCTTCTTTTGTCTTGCTGTTGCATGTTTCGGGTTAGTTGTTCGACAAGAGGAGGGTAAGTTCTCAAAGCATTCAGATCAGGACAGAGCTTTGTTCAGCAAAAAAACACAGAAGTCTACAGACCCCAAACTTCAGCAGCTCATTTCTGAGTCAAACTAATTTGGTGTGCACTGTGGAGTGCAAAAAAATTTACAGTAAAAACCAGAAAACGATAAGATCGATCTTTACATGATTTGACACACTTTACAGGATACTGGAAGTGGGACAGAATGGTGTAATAACCTGTACCAGCAAATGTCCATTCGTGCCCAATCCGATTATTTTGGTTAATTTATGCTATTGCAGCATTTGTTACATTTGTATCAAATTAAGAAATCTGGAGCTCAGAATGCTGCATTCTACCAAATGCAGTTTAAATTCTGGAAATAAAATCCCCCCCATGTGAAAGAGTATCCATATCACATTTTGAGCCAAATGACTATTTTGAACAGCCATGATGAAGTCAGTTTCAGTTTCACAAAAGAGACATTAATTTTCACTTTTTGGGACGGGCACTGCAACTGTCTGCTTAAACAAATTCTTCAGCACATATCTTTGGAGCAATATTGTGATCATATGTTATCTCAATTAGGAGAGGCATTCTTCTCTGAAAACAACAAGCCCAGGCAGGGTTTCCGCTACATGTAATTGATTGTGGCGCATCGCCATGGCACAATAAAAGCTGCCACGCCTATGTAAAATGACTTTACATAAACTACAAAAATCCTAAGGACAATCAGGTGTCACCAGTTCTCCTTGTTAAGTTAAAATGAGCGCTAATAATTCTTGAACTGTTGTCAATCATTTTGCTTGATGAACACGTTTTCCAATGAATAAAAATTAGCCATCGGCAGTAAAACGCGCTGCTTTCTTCTTAATGCAATGTGTGCAACGATTAGAGAAAAAATATTTTGTTCACTTTGCAAAACGATAAACTACGATGATAACTTCTGTGTTTGCTGTGAGCACATCCTGCTCTACCTAATTGTATCTTCATGATTATTTAATTCCAATCCCGGAGTCCGTAGTCAGAATCGGTTTTCATATTATATGTGAAATCCACCGTCACGCACGTGAAACTGATAAACCTCTGTGCACATAGACTTCAATTATTTCATCGCCTAAGTGCTGATTAATGAAAACTGGCCACACCTGATAATGTTGAGTTTTGACATGCAGAGAGCCCTCCGCCACAGTTTCAAAAAATCCTGGAGGAAACCCTGCCAGGTAAAATTACCATGGGACCTTTTAATAATATAATTTGAGAAAATAGGTGTGCAATGATGTCAGTCATTATACTGCCAGTAATACCATATTATACACGGATGGTTTCAGTTTCCAAATATAACTTCAGATAACAATGTCTCCAGAGGAGATTATATTTGACCAAATAGGCAACACTCCTTCCATATGGGTACACGTTTACCTTTTATATGCTACTGCAAGATGAGGAAAAAGATTGATATTACCAAAACACAAGTAAGCAATCACCCAAATTGAATCTGTATTTTGAGATAATGCGCTGAGAAGAATGCTCCAAATGAAAACAGACTTCCATTCACCGTCATTCCCTATATTCATGGTAATACAACTCCCTGCCCTTTCTTTTAGGAGCCAATTAGCTGGCTCCTCACATGATTTCCTGCAACAGGAAACTGATGGAGTACTGAAAGAATTGCCTACGAAGAATGGTTCATGCAAAAATCCCTTAGTAGAAGCCAGATTTAATTAAGAGTTCAGTGCATAAATGAGTCAAAACATTAGGAACACCAGCCTAACTTGGTCCTCCACAAGCTTTTCTTCTTCCCACAGCATATCCTGGTGACATCACCAATCCAAGTAAGCAGGGCCAACATACTCGGCCAGCCACATGATGTGAAAGCAAACTGAACTCGCTGGACCAGGCGACTTTCATCCATTGCTCCTAGGTCCAGTTTTGATGGTGGCATGCCCATTGCAGGAGCTTCCGACAGTGGACAGGGGTTAGGAAGGGTACTCTGACTGGTCTGCGGCTACCCAGCCCCATGTAAATCAGGGTGCAAGGCATAACGTGTCCAGACCCATTCCACCCATAATTATAATTAAAATTGTCTGTGACTTGTGCCACTGTAGTCTCTCTTTTGGTTCGATCTTTAGGGAGAGCCTACCATGCCCTCGCACAATGATGAGCCTTGGGCACCCAACACCCTGTTGTTAGAGTGTGGTTTGTCTTTCCTCAGACTTCTGTTGGCGGATCATCATTGCTGCTGGCTGGGAGCACCTCACAAGCCTTGCCATTTTGTTTGGCCACTGTCCAAGTCGCTCTGGTCAAAACACCTACTCATGACACCCACATTGGATATGTGAATTCTCACTTCGCTAATACAACCCCAAATCAGAGGAAGCTGAGACAGTATGTTTAATTAAAACTGAAAGCAGTGCTTTATCCATGTTCCTTTACATGTATTAGGTTGAAAACAATACAACAGCACATTCTTTGATGCTTGAAGTAAACACAAATCAAGAGACAAAAATTGATTTTGAATCTTGCGACACAAATCAAAAAAGTTGGTACGGTAAGGTGCTTACCATTTTGTAATGTTTCCACTAATAAATGTTTGGGGACTGAAGACAAGTCAATAGCATGAGGTGTTCATTGTTGTATTTTGCATTTCAAAATGCGCCACACATTCACTATTGAGGGCTGGTCAGGACTGCAACCACCCGCACCCTCTTCTTATGCAGCCATGCTTTTGTGATGGGTGAGAAATATGGTTTTCCATTGTCTAGTTGAAATATGCGTGGGCCTCCCAGCAAAAGATGTTGTTATCTTAAAGGCAGTGTACTGTACGTTGCACCAAAATCTCAGTGTACTTGTCATGATTAATGGTGCCTTCGCAGAGGAGCGAGTTACTCATGCCAAGGGCACTGACAGAACACCATACCATGACAGACCATGGCTTTTGAACTTCTTGCTGGTAATGGTGTGGGTGGTCCTCTTTGGTCTGGAGCACATGGGAAAATTTTTTCACCAAAAAAAAAAAGAAGAAAAAAAAAATAGGACCAGGGGTCCTGTAGCTTACCGGCAAGCAGCCTTAAGCCTGATTCATACTTCTTGCGGTTGGCGCGGTCAGCACGGTCCACACGGTGAAATGATGCAATTGCGGCCAGGGCGACAAAGCGCGGAGGGTCCGCGGAGGCTCTGAACGCCGAGCCGTGCACTTGGAGGATTTTGTAACAACGCGGCCGGGGTCGCACAGACCGCGTTGCAATGATTGGCTAGCTTCAGGACCCGGACGCACATGTAACGATTAAAATTAAAAATGGAAAGCTTAGCTGAACATACATTCATTCATTGTCTATACCCGCTTATTCCTCACTAGGGTCGCGGGGGAACTGGAGCCTATCCCAGCTGACTACGGGCGAAGGCAGGAACCCACCCTGAACAGCTCGCCAATCCATCGCAGGGCGCACACACCATTCACACACCATTCGCTCTCACACTCATACCTATGGGCAATTTAGTGTCTCCAATTAACCGAACATGCATGTTTTTGGACTGTGGGAGGAAACCGGAGTACCCGGAGAAAACCCACGCGAACACGGGGAGAACATGCAAACTCCACACAGAAAGGCCCCAGGCCAGAATCGAACCCGCGACCTTCTTGCTGTGAGGCGACAGTAGACAGATCTACAAGGATGCTCATATGACTTCCAACACATGGAAGGAGATCGGAAATTTTCAACAGACTGATCCCAACGTGTCTAAGATAAAATGAAAAACCCTTCACAACCGGTTTGTGAAAGCACCAAAAAAATGAAGGGGAGGAGTGGAGAAGCTGGCGGAACCAGTGTATCGGCAATATTTACATCATTGTCCTGGCTCATGGTGTTTATAAAACTTAGGGAGACAAAATCAAATGTCTATGCAGCGCTCTGTTTAACCCAAGGTTTTCCGGACGTAGGGTAGCTAAGTCCGCAGAAGATTGAAGGAATCTTGTTGGCGTAGCTTACGTCATTCGGGAATACCCATACAGTCATTTCGGAGTACCTCAACCTCCCCCCACGCCTTTATATTTCGTTTGTGGTATAGGACCCAATTATCGCAGTATTAATGACATTAATTCACAGTTGGCTAAACTAACTGGCAGATAAATTAAACTTACATTGCTACATACAACAAGTAATCTCTATGCATCTGAAATCACACACACAAAAAAAAAAAAAAAAACCCCAAAATGATCATTGCCAGACATTGGTGCAGAAACTGCCGAAATGCAAACCATGTCAACTTAGTTTTCGGAAGTTTCAAGTGACCCAATTGTTGTAATAGTGGAGAATGAGCGGCCAGTAATATCTGTTTTGACAGCGACACACTGTCTAATCTAATTCAAAATAATCAAGCCGTGTGTTTGGTAGTAATAATAATAATAATAATAGTCATAATATGATAGTAAAAATGAACGTATTGATCACAGAAATAAGATTCAGTAGCGCAAGATTAGAATAGGCCCGTTCTAGGAGCCGCTTTGACCGCATCAAGCATGAAACGACTCGACGTTCGTGGAAACCGTGCACGCCGTCCGCACAGCTGAAACCGTGCCGACCGCAAGAAGCATGAATCAGGATTTACAGCAATGATACAAGTTATGAAAATTTCATGTGAAGTTTGACATTTGAATCAATGAAAATCAATGTCAAGGTCACTAAATAAAAGTTTACACCCATTTATAAGACCTTCTGTAATACAATCCTAAGCTCTGAAGCAGTTTTGCTGATACAAGTCATTAAATATGTCAATTGTGAACTTTAAAGGTTACAGAATGTCAAGTTGTGGTCAGCAAATGGACTTCACTTGTGGGCGGCACGGTGGTGTAGTGGTTAGCACTGGCTAGCACTGCTGCCTCACAGCAAGAAGGTCGTGGGTTCGAAACCAGCCTGGGGCCTTTCTGTGAGGAGTTTGCATGTTCTCCCCATGTTCGTGTGGGTTTCCTCCAGGTACCTCCAGGTGCGACATGTTAAACGGGTCGAGTTATGTGCTTTGTTATTATACGTCAAGTCTACTGTTGGGCTAAAGCCACAAGGGTCTGACAGTGACGTCGCCCAGCCATAACCACAGACTGTGCTTTTTGCTGTGGGGTTGTATAAGCTAATGTCTGTTGTACTTCATAATAGTCAGAGAGATCATATGCATGTTCTCAATTGCAGTGGCAGACAAGGTCAAGTTGAGCATATGTGTTCCTCATCTATTGCTCATACTTTGGGCTTGTGTGTGTTAATTGCACATTAATAGGATCTCAGAAATAAAGCCACAAAGAAAGAATGTTTTGTTTCTTGACAGTCTTGGAGTGATGAACATTGATTCCACTCACTGTTACCACTTTATCTGTGTTTAAAGCGCTATTCTTAGTAGATCAGCCAGTAAAGCATGACAGAATTGCATCTTCATGGATGGGAAAGTCTAGGCTAGCGCTATCAAACTGGTAAGGAAACTGGCTATTATACAAAAGTGTTAAGAGAGTTAACTGTTGCTTTATAAATTGCACCACAACCTGTCAACCTCGATTACAATTTCCTCTATCTGTATTGGCCTAATTTAATCTTTTTAAGTCATTATTTTTTCGAGTAAAATTAATGACTAAAACTGGACTAAAACCCTTTTAGTTTTCGTTGACTAAAATGAGACTAAAACTATCAATGATAGAAATGACTAAAATGTGACCAAAGCTAATAAGCATTTTGTCCAAAAGACTAACACTAAAATTAAATCAAAAATGGCTGCCAAAAACAACACTGGCTGATATAAGGCATTGAAACTACACTGTATAGTTTGGCCGTTCAAGGTCACTGAAGGTCAAGTTCAAGGTCACCCAGTGAAACTTCATACATGACTTCCTATATGGCCACAATACAAACCTAAGCTCTAATAGTTTTGGTGATAGAAGTCACTGAAATTTCACTATGTGAAGTTTGACCTTCGAGGGTCACCGAGGATCAAGTTCAAGGCCACCAAATGAAAGTTCATACATGACTTCCTATAAGTGTTCAATGCACATACGTTCCCAATCTTTTTTTTTTTCCAATCTATTTTCTAGCATAGAAACCTTTGAAAATTGTAACATTTTGCTTGACCTTAAGTTTGACCTTTCATAGTCATCTAAGGTCAACTTTAACACAGCCAAAATATAGGTCATATATTACTTCCTATATGTCAGTAATACAAACTTAATCTCTATCTGCAACGATTTAGCTTCCACAGGCGATTTGGCCCATTCTCCATAAGACCCGATGTTAAAGTACAGCGCTCCCACTAGACCCACCTCCGTTGATTCAATCAAAATGGCACTAGCACTGTACATAAAGTGTATCAAGGTGAGTTGATTGCCAGATTTAGAAAAAAAGTTATCAGACAGTTTAAGAAATAATTTTTTAACATTGTTTAACATTGTCAATATATTCCCTAACCTCCAGTTTGACCTTTCAAAGTCATCTGAGGTCAACTTTAACATAGCCAATGTATAGGTCATATATGACTTCCTATAGGTCGATAATACAAACTTAATCTCTATCTGCAACCATTTGGCCTCCACAGGCCATCTTGCACATTCATAAAGTACAGCGCCCCCAATAGACCCACTTCAGTCGATTCAATCATAATGGTGCTCACACTGTACATTGATGGTACCAAGGTAAGTTGATTGCCTGATTTAGAAAAAAATTTATCACGCGGTTTTTGAGAAATAATTTTTTTAAATTTCTCAGTCCTATCTTTAACATTGGAGCCAAAATTTCAAGGTCCCATAAAACGGACAAAAATTATTCAATCAAAAATCCGAGAAAAAATGCTGGAGATATGGTCTAATAGTATGTTATTGCAAATTTAAACGAGAATTCATCAAGCCAAAAAAAAGAAAAAAGGTTCCGGACGACGGACGACGGACGCCACACCACGACAATAGCTTATCGGCCCATAGGGCCGGTAAGCTAAAAAAAATAGTGGCAAAGCCACTGCGCCCGCTTGGCCAAACGTGGCCAAAATGGAACGCCCCCTATTGGCCATAGTATCAGTCCGATTGGGCTGAAAATCGAACTTGGTCTAGACCTTAAGACGGTATATACACATATGAAATATGAAAAGGATCGGTGAAAAACTGAAGACATTAGAGCGCAGACAAGCCAAAAGTTTACGCACGCACAGATGCACAACATACCACCACTAATGACCCTAAGCACAGCATAAGTCCATCGGGCCTGTCGGCCAAGCGGGCTAAAAACCAAAATACACATTTCCACTGTGTGATGCTCCATCACAAATTCCTCCAGAGAAGTCAGAGACATCTCTGGGGCCTCATTTATAAATGCTGTGTCTGCATAGAAAGGGCTTTATAATGTGCATTCTCGTCTTACGCCCCCTCCCAAGGTTTGCAATTTATTGAATAAAACTCAGCAAGAAACCAATTGAAAATCTGCGGAAACTCTGACTTATTCATATTACATTTACAATTGCATTTGTGGTTAGAACAAAAACCAGAATACACAGGGGTGCCCCAGGACCTTTTTGGGGGAATAACTGCTCATAGGTAAAGGGCATTTCTTGATGCAGGGCCAACTGAGGAAGGAGATCATGAGTATTCAGCTTAGTTTTGCACCCTTTCCATTTACGCAGACAAATTCCTTCAGATTCCTCGAATTGCTCAGTTATTTTACGCACCAGAGGGCAAAATGCCGAAATTCCTTCCAATTTTTCTTTAAAGAAGATCACTTTAAAAGCTTTCATGGATTCTGTCATGTATTTGTGAGCGAATTGGCAATCCTCGGCCCACCTTTGCTTCTGAAGGACTAGCTATCCTGAATGCTGCTTATGTACCAAATAATGATTAGAATCACTTGCTCACATCAGCTGTATCAAAGTATATCATTCAAAAAATTTTTTTACCTCATTACAAGTCCCCAACTGCCCCCGCCCCAACTTTTTTAAACGCACTGAAGGTTTCAATGGCAGAAATGGATACATATTAACAAATAAAATCAATTTGACCACAAAAAACATTAATATCTTATCTTCATACTGTATGCAATTCCGCGGTTAAATACAAGTCAAAGTAAATTTAAACATCACTACTTTCCATTTTCATGCACATTTTCCATACCGTTCCAAGTTTTTCAAAGTTAGGGTTGTAATTTCCACACACTGACATGTGCCATTATTACAAGATAATCAACATTATTCACTTCCTCAGGGAAGGGTCATAATATTTTGGCTCAATAAAGTATACTTCACTTTGAAAACAAGCAATATTAAAGATTTACTGTTTTAATATAAATCCCTGTCTTTGTTTTCCCAGTCCTTGTTCAAAGAGTCAAAATTAATTGCCAGGGCTATGCTGTTCCTCAGCATATATTATAGAATTGCTCTTGGAAACTAAAATAATTAATGCAACAATGTGTAATAGTCTGCAGTAGCTTTTGGGTCTGTTCTCTTCCGGTCTCTTTCTGCACGGGCAATTTTACACTTTCGTTTGTTATTTCTCATTAAAGCGCACAAAGAATTCTCCATGTTCTTTGGAAATTTGATTAAAATTTCACGGTGTGGAAAAATGAAACCATTTGGGTGGCAAAATGAGCTTGTTTCAGACTGAATTAATACCAGCTTTAAAAGCTAAACTGTAAGCCCTGCATCTTTAAAGAAGACAACGAGCTGGCATTGTGCCAAATTCCATATGAATTCAGAACCCTGGCATTGCAGAATGTTTATTTTTAGACACATCCAAACCCCCCTATTTACCACAGTATAAACAAGCTGTAATTATGCTTCCACATTTCATTCAACTGATCCAAATACTTGCAATCATATTTACTTGGGCAAGATCAAAATATTGTCACAGCTCTTTGAAAGTGTGGACAATGGGATATTCTGCTGTAGCGCAACGAGGAATCCAACTTCAAACATTGACCTAAATTAAAAAAAATTAAAAAAACTCAAAACAAGGTCATTACTACATTCAGAACAATCAACTCGACAAAAAAGTCCATGCGGACACCACCACAAATTAGTTACATTTTAGAGATTCGGTCAGCTGACAGCCAGTAAATACCATTATTGGAGATTCTGCATAAGTACTTGTGATAGCATATGAGGCTCACCTAAGGAATTTAATGAACCATTTCAAGCGAAGGTGTTTAAGAAAACTGTTCAGCTTCTCTAAAGAAATCACAACGACCATGTAAAACCAAGTAGAATTTCTGCAGAACCAGGGGGAGAAAACGGATAATGAGGCAATTTCCTGATTAGCATCCAGGGGTAGGGATATAAGATATATGGTGAAGGAGAGAAAGAAAAAAAATAGTTTTGTGACACTATAGCCACCAGTATACCAGAGCAGTGAGCAAATGATAATAAAATGGCTTCAGTGATTTTGGGGAGAAAATGGATTTCAAAACACATTGCTCAGTCAGTCATAAAAATATCATTCTTTGAACTGCACTGGTACCGCACTTGAATTCAGATCAAGTGGCTGTTCCTATATCCTTGAATTACTAATTTTTATACCATGGAGAACTTTTCAGAATACAAATGCACAATAGCCTCCAAAGAGAATGACAAAGCTCTAATTCTCAAAGATTATTTTGGCTCATGAATGTACTATAAATTCTCAGTGCCTGTTCATTTTAGAGGCAAAGTTCCAAAAAAGCAGTCAAACATTACATGCTGCATTATGATTTATTCTTTCTTCCTGAAGCCTGCACTCCTTTAGGACAGAGTGATTTCTGAGTCAGGTACAGCACACTGCCAATTGGATGCGAACTTTTCAGCCATTTGTGGTAAAATGGTTAAATTAATTGTTAGCAATTTATTGGCCAATGTAGATGTAATCTATTCAGAATTCTAGCACAATCCTGTTCAGTGGAAGTTTACACAGCTAGATGTGCATAGAAGACTCCAACC